TAATGTAACACTTTACACAAATTAAATTTATATTATTTTTCCACACATTTTTTGCCGGTATATGTTCACAACTGGGTTTTTTTGTATTTTTTTGTGCTGTAAACGCAAAAAAAACACAAAAATTTCCACAAATAAAATCTTTTTTTTTACTTTTTGCTATAAAACATATCCAATAAAAAATTTTAGAAATACAATTTATTTATAAATTTAGACCAAAATGTATTCTACTACATGTCTTTGGTAGAAAAAAATCCCAATAAGTGTATATTGATTTGTGAGAAAATTATAGCGTCTACAAACAATGGTATAGATAATAGAATTTTTTTTCTCTTTATACTAGTAGCAGCGATCAGCGATTGATAGTGCAGCGGCAATCTGACACTTACTGGGTGGGAACTGACTAACTGCCACTAACATCTCCATTGCCACTAATAGTGATCAGTGTTAATAAAAAGCGCCGTCACTGTACTAATAACACTGGACAGGAAGGGGTTAACATCTGGGGCCATCAAAGGGTTAACTGTGTGCTGTTTTACTAGGGATATTGCGTACTGTGTGCTGTTTTACTAGGAGGTGTGCTGGTTTTTATTCCATGCTCTGCAGGAAGATAAAAAATGGCACATCCCCGCCAACAGGAGAAAGATCTTTGTTGTTTACATACACAGATCTCACGCCTGTCACTTGGTCCACCGATCGTCGGGTTTCCGCCCATGAATTGCAAGCCAGGACCTGGGAATTGGCATGTAAGGAACCCAATGACAGTGTGGGTGGGCTCCTACCCAGAAAAGCAGAATCACGTATATGTACATCATTGTGTGCAGTCGGCCTGTACTGTAGCAGTAAAGCTACAGTACGCGGTTGGGAAGTAGTTAAAGAGGTTGAGGCAAAGAGCAGAGGACCCATCCTAACCAGCAGCTTCTTATGGGGGCAGTGCTACAAATACTGTATATCTGTCTAACGTTCAGCTTTAAAATCCTCACTAAATGAAAAACCAAGCAAAGTCATCTACTTTTCTTACCACCCCTCTTCCCAGCTGTATGTTAATTTATGCATAAGTGCAAATATGTATCAGCAGGATCTGCTATTCATCATCATAGACGGTCAGACCAGCTGCAGGTCAGAATGCCTGTAGTTGGCTTAGAAGAGTCAGACACCTCAATCTACTTGATTACTGGCATATATAGTTAACGATATGGTTTTATTTATTTTGGGAACTAATGAGCCAATGCAACCAAAATAACTATTGCCTGAACCTTGCTGACAATGGAAAGCCCATTTACTAATTCCCTCTAAATGTCTTCTGGCTCTTTGATTGGGTTAGCTGTTCCTTTAAACTTCCATGAATTGGTGAGCCCCTGTTTAAGGGCATCACTGCACAGCTGTATGCTGTACAGCAAAGAAAAGGTTAACATGCACAATGCATTATGTATACACTACACGGCAATGATACAAAATGCAATTTTCCTCCCAACCAAATAGGTTTCAATTATGTGAAAAACACATGGTGAAGCAGCCCTTGTGTACATTAATTTAAAAATAATATTTGCTACCTGGGCCAGGGGGTTAAATCATCCAGACAGCTCACATGCCATGAATTAATTTCAGGCCCAGCGACAGTAGCCGCCTGTGTTTTTATGACACTGAGCGATCCAGTACCTGCCATGAGCCATTTCATAAAGTCAATGCAAAGCCACCACTTTATTGCTTCAAGGCCACAGCCTGAAAAGACATTTTCGCTGCTCAGCTCTGCAGCAACCTCCCGCCCCCTCCCTGTCCTCCTCCTCCCAGGCTGATAGCGCCACAGGGGTGACGGTCTGCGGAGAGACAGGTAAACTGAGAGCTTAGCTAAATGAGGGCTAGAGAGTTTCTAGATGACAGGTATCAGAGGAATAACCTAAATGGTATCTTTCTTAATAATCTTAGTAGTAAAAGTAGTAATATATCAATAATATAAAATCCACTACAAATAGAAATAACTACAAAGAATGCTATATCATCATCATCATCATTATTATTAGTAACCATATCAAACCATATTTTTGAATGACACCAATATCATAAATGGCTTTTTCTTATAACTGATATTTGATAATAAAATAACAAAACAACAATAATTGTAACACCTTTACTACCACAATGTATTCTACTACTTCTAATAATAATAAGGAAGCGCAAAGAATGATAATTTGCGGGAAAAATATTTTTTTTGCATGAATTTACAGTTTTCACCAGAAGCTTTAAATTTTGCTCACTTAGCTGTTTAAGATAATTTTTATTATAATGTAATTTTATATTCATTTAAAGGGCATGAATGTATTCAGTGTAGCTTAGTTTTAGTTTATTAGTGTTATATGTATTTTTTTGCTGTTGTTTCAATAGTTTATTTTCAATAAGAAAAAAAAAAAAACAGTTTCCAAAAAAACAGATGTATCACCATTTTGTGGTTTTGCAATGCCAAGAGGTTTTGGGTGCATTATTACAATAGAAAATATAATGATAACATAAATTACACAGCTTGCAATGATACCAAGAGGAGGGTGATGGAAGAAAAATATATGGGATGGACTAAGGCACCAAAAGACTGAGAAAAGGAAAGAAAAAGGAAAGAAAGGGGCAGAATAGTAGGACGTGGATATTAGAGAGACATGAACACTTTTTTTTGTGCATTTGATCTTTTTGTGAATACTGTTGCCTTAAATGTGTTTAATGTACTTTGACAGTATTTTTCCTTTCCGTGCACAAAATAATGAGGCTAATGAAGGATCATGTTTTGAATGGGTCTTGAATCATTAAAAGGAGCTTCTGTAACCCTCAGGAGTGGTATAAAGCCCATTGAACCCTTAAAAACCACCTTAATTTCTCCTTCACTGTGGGTTTGATTTTTTAAAGGCAAGTAGACTGTTCACTTTGCAAGGGAGGCTGTACCTTGCAAGAGCATTTTCCCTAGAGCTGTGTGAATGTGGTGAAATTTTACTTTTTTTTAATTAATTTTTGCTTACAGGTGATTGGATAATGGAAGTCAGTAGAGCTTCACCTCATTTCATTTAGTTCTGGGGATCATTCCCTTGCAAGGGGAAACTTACCTTTTAAATTGAACAGTCTATTTGCTTTTAGTAAATCAACCCCATTGACGCTAATGTTTTCAGCCAAAATGGTGGAATTTCACCGAAGTCTCCCAATTTTTGCATACAGTTTGCAATTTCACTAATTCCCACTAATAATAACATAACCATTGCCATAAATAAATATTATTTTTCTTAATACATTTAAAGAACCAATACATAAATACATATTATGCACAACCACACTGATAATACCATTGTTCCAGATAATAATAATAACACTAATATCTACAATAACAATGGGTAACACAATAAGGATAATAGTAGTACTGATGTTTCGTAAAATAATAATCCATTATCTCTCTTGACAATAATACATTTCCTAAAAACAAGCATAATATAAGTACCTACTATCAAACATGATCATTATGATAACAATAATGGGAATTGCAAAACAATTTTTTTTCTAATCAAATATGACTATGATGATAATAATAACAGTATTAAAACACAAAAATAAAACAGTGACAAAAAAATTAACGCAACTCCTTTATTTTTTTTCCATTTTTTCCATTGTTTAAGTAGATCAATAACCAATTACTAAAATCCCATATTTAAAGGGTAATTCCACTTTCGTGGGAAAAAAAATAGCAAATAAAAAAATATAGCATATATAATTGCGACACAAGTCATATTGTAATTTAATGTTCTTAAAACTTCTTGAGAATTTTGAGCGAATCATGACTGACAAATCCTGGGCGAATTCTCACTTATTTGGCTTGATTCATACTTTCTGAGTTCATCACTGTCGACCACCATTTTCAAACCAATGCAAAATCATACATTTTTTTTATCTTAATAATGACTTTTTGGCATTGCTTCATATGGCACTTTTTGTGTGGACGAGCAGATTTATTTCTGGGTATTTTCAGGATTGCATAATATATGTAAATGGTCTATTTCAATGGTCTATTTCAGATGTCATCTCTACAGAATTGTTCAAAAATATGTTTATTATTATTTATTATTTATAATAATAATAATAATAATAATAATAAATAAATAATATGTAAATGGCCTATTTCAGATGTCATCTCTACAGAATTGTTCAAAAATTTAGAGTTAGTATTCTTATAAGGGGTTGATTTTTATCAAAAGACACCAGGTAAGCTAACCACATAGCAACAGCCAGTAAGAATAATCAGAAATGTTGTTTTTTTTTATACTTTACCGTATGTCGAAGAATTACACAGTTTAGCTCTTATGGCAAAATTTTTAGAATGGAACTAAAATTATACCTGTTCATTCTTAACCTTGATATTTAATTTTATATTAGTTCAAGCTGTAACATGCAGAAATTATATATATTATATTATATATAGGAAAATATAATGGGTTTTAGTGGGGATCCTAATCACCAAGAACACTGGCCAGACTGGGAAGACTGAATTTGTGAAACAAATTGAAAACTTCCCTACAGATTTAACTCCAGAAAAATGTAAAGGATTGCAAAATAATAGTTAAGGAGAAGTGAAATCTATTAAAAATGTGGAAATTGATAATTTGATAAATGTGCCTCCAGGGCTTTTGTTTATTACTGCAATTAATAATAAATAAAAACAAAATTATAATACATAATTTTTACCTGTTGATTGATAAGGAGCCACAAAACACTGACCAAAATACTGACTCCCAGTAAAATACTGTATATAATCTATCTATCTATCTATCTATCTATCTATCTATCTATCTATCTATCTATATATACAGTATATTTCTTTTCAATGAATCATCCCTGCTTCTTTCTAAAAGTGGCAGCATTACAATTCTGCACAATTATCACTGCTAACATGCCTGACATTAAATTCCATTAAAAAAAATAATAGGACAGGGAGAGGAAATCACCTCAAAGGGTACACAGACCAGGGGCGGACTGACCATTTGGAAACTCGGTCTGTAGAGGGCCCCATGAGATGCCCCTGGTACCTTTTTCATAGGCTTTTTTGAGTTTGGGCAAGGACACAGGGGCCCCATGATCCCCTATTGCCCGGGGGCCCCATGAGTTGTCAGTCCGCCCCTGACACAGACCTAACATGATGCAGGTTGTAACCTTCTCTCACCATTTTAAAAATGGTGATTTTATCTATGTGATACAATGTCTTGTCTGACAGAACATAAATGGAATGGTTTGTTTAGGTATGCCTTCATATTACATCATTTTGGTAAATCTAATAGTAATTTTACAGAGATTGTACAATCCAACTAATCAGCTTAACAAAGGTTTCAAATTATTTAAAGCTAAGAAAAACAATGGGTATATTTAAATGACCAAAATCAATACAGATACAAGATACCACCCAGGGCAGTCACCTGGCTCGCTTTCACCAACAACAGGTGCTAACTAAACAGGATCCATCCTTCTCCAACTAGCCAAATTCAAACAGAAAAAGTTGTACCTCCACCATGTCTTTTTTTGCTTTTCCTTAAAAAACATTATTGTAACATGGAAAAGTTCAAATTATTATTATTATACAGGATTTATATAGCGCCAACAGTTTACACAGCGCTTTACAACATAAGGGCAGACAGTACAGTTACAATACAAATGAATACAGGTGGGAACAGAGAGCCCTGCTCCTCAGAGCTTACAATCTAAGAGGGGTTGACATGTTTAAGCCCATGACTGGGTGAAATGCATCAGTGGAGAAGCAGCAGGGTATGGAGGAGGGCAGTGTGCTTTGAGCTGATATTGTGAAGTTCGATGTTAAAATAAAGTTTTTTGAGGGTAGGAGAAAAGAAAGTGTAGCTAATGTGTATCTTTTTCTAGTTGTATTTAAGTGACTTGAATTTATTGAAACAATTGCTATCTAATCGATAAAATAAATTATGCTTTAATCGTATTTTTTTTCTTTCATAAGAGTGAAATAAACACCTCAATTGCATCTAATGCCAACACTTTTTTTCCAGTTTGGGATAGATTTGGATAGATTAGAATATTGTCATGGTCTGTAACAGGACAACAGACAACCACCAAAAGCTCAGAGGGATTCTAGCTTTTCCTCTAGTTAACTTAAAGAATAACATTTTTACTTCTGTCTGTGTTGCAGCTGCAGTTGGAGACTTTCTATCACTTCCTGTCTGTTGAAAAGGTTGTCAGCAGGACAGGAAGTGAGGGTAAATATCTCTAACAGAGTGCTGGACAGCAGAAAAACCTGACTGATTCTTATTCCGTCCCCAGTCAATACAAAACTAGAAAAAAGTTTTGACTTTAGGTACAATTTAAATGTGAGAAGAACTGGCTGGACTAGTTTAACTTTCTTTCTGGTTTATGAGAGCCTTAAAGTGATTGTAAATGTTTTGTTTTTTTTTTAATAACAAACATAAGTCCCTGCTCTGTGTAATGGTTTTGCACAGCCTCTTCCCCTTCTGGGGTCTCCCGCCTTCCCCTCCTCCCCCCCTGCTGAGTGCCCCCATAGCAAGCCACTTGCTATAGGGGCACTCATGCAGGTTCAATCTCGAGCCACGCTCTCTGTGTCCATTGACACACACACAGCGCAGATCAACCCTGCCCCCTACTCTCTGCTCTCTGGCTGTGATTGACCAATGACTCCCACTGCTGCCTCCATGTCCAGTGAGGCAAGAAACACTGGAGAGAGCTGCTGCTCTTGTGCAATGCGGTGAATCAAGATCGGGCTCAGGCAGGGCGGACTGACCATTTGGAAACTCGGGCACTGCCCGAGGGCCCGGGGTCAGTAGGGGGCCCCATGAGATGCCCCTGGTACCTTTTTCATAGGCTTTTTTGAGTTTGGGCAAGGACACAGGGGCCCCATGATCCCCTATTGCCCGGGGCCCCATGAGTTGTCAGTCCGCCCCTGGGCTCAGGTAAGTATAATGGAGGGGGGGGGGGGGGGGAGCTGGGGAGGAGCTGCACACAGGTTTTTTACCTTAATGCCGAGAATGCATTCAGGTAAAAAAAATCTTCCTTTGCAATCAAAAAAAATAGAACTGAGCAAAAGAAAACTGCTGAGAGATAGAATTGTTGGCATAATGTCCCTTAGCTCTAAACGTTTTGGTTTGCATACTGTCTGCAATGCGCTGCAGTATAGTCCACACGCCTGGCCAATTCCTACCATCTGTAAGGAGCACGCTGATAGGAAGACACAGCAGAGCGACAGAGACAAGTTCATCACTGTGCTGCTTCTTTTATTAAGGTTGACCTGCACTCAGAGGACGTTCAAGCAAAAACTGGTTGTATTATTTTATTGTTTAATGGGCTATTAATTTTAATCTTATTTTTGGCTGGAGTTATACTTTAAAGTGGTTGTAAACCCTTACATATACCCAGTGAAGTGACTGGCCTCAGGTGATACACAGAGATGAAACAAATCCTCCTTTATAAGTTGTACCTATTTATCTGCGATCTTCTCTACATTAGCTGAAAGTGCTGAATTTATAAAGTTTGCAGAGCTGTCACAAAAAGGTGTCGGAGAGCTGAAATTACACTCTGCAGACCTCAGTGAGAAGAGCTCAGAGAGCTGATAGGAGGTAAGGCACACATCCCCTCTATACATCATACAGGAACTAAGCTGAGGCTGTCAGTTTGATGGAAGTCCCTCCCCTGTCACCATGTTTCTCTTGGTGTCAGGAAAACTTGTCAGAAGTGATTCTTGCTGATAGCAGGGGAATGAAGCAGCAGACAGAGAAGACACTTAGTGCTCTGGACTGAGACAATTACAGACTATAGAGGGATATGCTTTGTTCATATTTCATGACTGAGCGTTACACCCACTTTAAGTTCTCTGTAGCACAAATACAGTCATGGCCGAAATTGTTGGCACCCTTGATATTTTTCCTGAAAATCAAGTATTTCACACAAAAAAAAGGTATTGCATTAACACATGTTTTGCTATACACATGTTTATTCCCTTTGTATGTATTGGAACAAATATAAAACAGAGGCAGAAAAGCAAATATGACATAATGTCACACAAAACCCCCAAAAATGGGCTGGACAAAAGTATTGGCACCCTTAACTTAATATTTGGTTTGCACACCCTTTGGAAAACATAACTGAAATCAGTCGCTTCCTATAACCATCAATAAGCTTCTGACACCTCTCACCCGGAATTTTGGACCACTCTTCCTTTGCAAACAGCTCCAGGTCTCTCTTATTGGAAGGACAACCTTTTCCCAACAGCAATTTTAAGATCTCTCCACAGGTGTTCAATGGGATTTAGATCTGGGCTCATTGCTGGCCACTTCAGAACTCTCCAGCGCTTCTTTTTGCCATCCATTTCTGAGTGCTTTTTGACGTATGTTTGGGGTCATTGTCCTGCTGGAAGACCCAGGATCTTGGACGCAAACCCAGCTTTCTGACACTGGGCCCTACAGTGCGACCCAAAATCCTTTGGTAATCCTCAGATTTCATGATGCCTTGCACACAGTCAAGGCACCCATGCCAGAGGCAGCAAAACAACCCCAAAACATCATTGAACCTCCACCATATTTTACCGTAGGTACTGTGTTTTGTTCTTTGTAGGCCTCATTCCGTTTTCGGTAAACAGTAGAATGATGTGCTTTACCGAAAAGCTCTATCTTGGTCTCATCTGTCCACAAGACGTTTTCCCAGAAGGCTTTTGGCTTACTCAAGTATATTTTGGCAAACTGTAGTCTTGCTTTTTTATGTCTCTGTGTCAGCAGTGGGGTCCTCCTGGGTCTCCTGCCATAGCGTTTCATTTCATTTAAATGTCGACGGATAGTTCGCGCTGACACTGATGCTCCCTGAGCCTGCAGGACAGCTTGAATGTCTTTGGAACATGTTTGGGGCTGCTTATCCACCATCCGGACTATTCTGCGTTGCAATCTTTCATCAATTTTCCTCATCCGTCCACGACCAGGGAGATTAGCTACAGTGCCATGGGTTGCAAACTTCTTGATAATGTTGCGCACTGTGGACAAAGGCAAATCTAGTTCTCTGGAGATGGACTTGTAACCTTGAGATTGTTGATATTTTTGCCACAATTTTGGTTCTCAGGTCCTCAGACAGTTCTCGTCTCCTCTTTCTGTTGTCCATGCTTAGTGTGGCACAGACAGACACACAATTGCAAAGGTTAAGTGAACGTCTCTCCTTTTTATCTGCTTTCAGGTGTGATTTCTATATTGCCCACACCTGTTACTTGCCCCAGGTGAGTTTACAGGACATCACATGCTTGTAACATTCTTATTTATCCGCAGTTGTGAAAGGGTGCCAAAACTTTTGTCCAGCCCATTTTTGGAGGTTTGTGTGGACATTATGTCGAATTTGCTTTCTTTCCTCCCTTTTTTTGTTTTGTCCCAATACACACAAAGGGAATAAACATGTGTATAGCAAAACATGTGTTAATGCAATACGTTTCGTGAGAAATACATGATTTCCTGGAGAAATATCAAGGGTGCCAACAATTTCGGCCATGACTGTATATAATTTCAGATAAATTATTTGACCTGTTCTGGACAGTAGCAATGACATAATCTTTTGACCTGATGATATCACAGATCCACAGTCACAGGTGAGGCTGTCAGATAAGCTCCTGTCATTGTTAATCTGTGCTCCTTGCTTTTTCATCAACAAAGTCATCATATTATATGATGATAGCAAATTCATCATTCTGCTGTAATAATAATAATAGATACACATGATCAAAAACCATAATAAATCTTTTATTTACAGTATTTTCAGTGCATGTTTCGAGGGGATATACACAAAACAGTCGAAGCAGTTTCACATTATACAGAAGGCACATAACAGACACACACTGGGAACAATTAGAAGTGGAAACACACCATGCATCAAATGGATAATCTATGCATTGATTTCACTGGCTACAACACTAGCTGGAAGATCCATCTACAAGTCAGACAACCCGATCCACTCCTACAGCTGAGTTCTCCACATCAAGCTTAGTAAGCACCTCTGGGGCAAAATCCGGTACAACTGTGCATGGTAACCAATCAGCTTCTAACTTCAGCTTGTTCAATTTAGCTTTGACAATAAAACCCGGAAGCTGATTGGTTTCTATGCAGAGATGCACCAGATTTTGCACCCTCCAGGTTTAGTATATCAACCCCCTCTGTGTCTGATGATGTTACTGTGGAACTAATTTGCCTGGAGCTACACGGGACAAGCAGCTCAATGGCAACTGGAGAGCCACAATGTCTGCAAATCCACAGCTTAAAGTCCAACATTTTGCTGACGACGATTATATTTAGCACCATCTTTCCATTTTTAGTTGGGCTAATTAGCAACCATCCATCTGGCACCAGAAAAAAAACATATTTGACTAGCGGTTTTGTCCCTTTCTGCATTAATATGGCCACAGAACATAACTATCTGAAAGATCGCATTAAAAAAAAGCACAATTTTAACACTAAAACTTGAGCTACTTGCTACCCTGTAATTGTTTTTTCATTAGGAGTATGCAGCAAGGGCTAATTAACTAAATTATTATTTTGTATAAATTCTAATAATATTACAGTACAATTGTAATATCACTTCTAATTATTGTTCAATTTATAGATATAGCAAATGTTTTAATGGGGTATTATTTAGAAATCTGGATAAAAGCGCAGAGAGAATACTTTTTGTTTGAGAAGTTTTTGTGTGGGCTAAATTACATGTAGAAGTTGATTTACTAAAACTGGAGCTCTCAGAATCTGGTGCGGCTGTGCATGATAGCCAATCAGCTTCTAATTTCAACTTGTTCAGTTAAGCTTTGACAATAAATCCTGGATGCTGATTGGTTACTATGCACAGCTGCACCAGTTTTAGTAAATCCCTCTTAGTGCAAGAAAGGACATCAAAAATTAAATTTTTTATGGAAGTTTTCATCCTAGGTCTTTCTCAAAATGTTTACCTAAATATTAGGATTCAGTCCTTGAGCTAGCCATAATTGTGAAAAGCACAACTCACGAATTGTGTTTTCATGATGCAAAAAAAAGCTATTTTCAAAATGCAGTTCATGTTTAAACTTGTGAATAGCAAGGCTCTTTTAGCCACCAGTTTAACTGAAAAGAGTTTTCTGACTGGTTATTACGGTACCAACAATTTGGCCTTTACTCCAGTTGTAATACTAAAGCCTTTGAATTAGTAATACACTGCGCCCCACTGCATGAAAAATCATTGTAAACATTGTTCAGTTATAATATTCAATTTAATTGATCATTTATTATTTTTTGTTGTGCTACTGAATGATGCTACATATATTTGCACATAAAACGTTCACAAAATGTACAAAAGAAAAAGTCCAACTTTGTGCATTGAGTAAATTATTTGTGGCACAAGTCAGGAAGCACTTGTACATTGCAAATTGATGGTGCATGCAAGCATTAGCTTTGCCAGGGTAAAAGACCACTAAACATACAATGAAAGAGTCAACGTGAAAGGCAAGCAAAGCACATTGACTGATTTTGTGTAAAAGTCCATGGGGGTTATATACTAAAACTGGAGAGTACAGAATCTTGCGGAGTTCTGCATAGAAACCAATCAGCTTCCAAGTTTTATTGTCAAAGCTTAATTAAACAAGCTGAAGTTAGAAGCTGATTGGCTACCATGCACAGCTGTACAAGTTTTAGTAGTATCTCCCGCCACGTCTGGATCTTTTCTAACATACACAGTTCAAAACCTGCCTGAGAACCCCGCAGAGGATCCAGGACTGAGACCCCGATGGCATCGACAGCAGCCTTTTACATCCTGCATGGGGACAGGGTTGCGTGTCTACACCCCACAGGGTGATCACAGCGTCAACTGATGGAAGGCATTCTCCTTTTTGTCCTATTAATAAACCTCTTGAGTTACCATGTTTGAGTGAATTACTACATTATAAGGGCTCTCCCACCTCCCTCTTTTCTTTTCTGGTGAACACCCAGAGGTGCACTTTGGGCCGATAGCCAGTTTTTTACGTCTGAAACCCTTGGACCACCACATTCTAGGTCTCACCATTTATGGACCATTGTCATGTAGCCTTCTAATCTAGGGTCAGGGGAGAAAGATTGTCCTGGGTCTCAGTGGGGTGTAGTTCAAGAAAACACATAGTGACCCCTCACATTCTGTTGTTCTTGGAGAGACACATTTTTTTATGTTTAAACACAAAACACCCATTTTATATGGGAGCAGGGGTAGGCAACCACAAGACTCCATCTGTTGTAGAACTGCAACTCCTGTGGGACATTGCAAGACTCTGACTTACAAGACATGCCACAAGCATGGTTCCCAGGGCCAGATGGGATTTGTAGTTTCACCATAGTTGGAGTGCCAAGGTTGCCTACCCCTTGGGTAGAGGATGCTTAAACTGACAGTTGACCATATTCGTGTAAAGCTTTGGTTCCCTACCTCAGGCCTAGGGGCCCACTTAGGACCGTTTGGTACGTGCTGTGCTGCCCTTGGACCCTAGCAGTTGGTGGAGGAAGAGGGAGCATTGATATGTAAATGGATTATAGCAGTGATCTCTATTAGTCCCATTAAATATGCCCCCAGCTTGTGACTGTCTCCTGCTGCATGTCTCCAGTCTCCGACCAAACCTGTGGCATGGCCCTAGTATTTGACCTCTCATGTCTGAAATTTCGGCATCTCCTGTCTAGCATTACATTCTGAATGGTATGGGCAGCCCTTTGGTGTTGTCAAGGGCTGCACCCGAGGCCCCCTATACCTCCGAACGTGACAACCACTGCTGTAAAGGATTACTGAACAGAACAGCAATTATTTTTTGTAAACAATCGCTCCATGCTGCACTAAGTTCCTAAGGAGCATATCCAGGCCACATCTGAAATCAGTAAGTTATTAAATCTATCCACTACAGCAAGTTTCCAGAGAGCACCTTACAAGATCACTGAGAGATGGAACTTACTGAAGCCTGTATAGCAGGCCGTATGTTTCTCTACTTTCTGTATCATCAAGGCAATTTTGACTGCAGCATAGCTTTAAAGCTGAACTCCAAACAAAGAGCTAGATACTTATATGAAATTCAAATATGAAAGCTGTTTTACCTGCCAAAGGATTTGTATTTCTGTCCATCCAGTTCTGAGATTTACACCGCTCCGTCTCACAGCACAGCCCTGCCTGGAAGGGAAGGACACCTGTTTTGTCTCTGATGCAGTTAAAAGTTGAAGTTGAGAAAAAAAATTGTGAACAGGCAGGCTCTTTATTGCAGAAGAGATATGCAATGGGGTTGATTTATTAAAGGCAAATATACTGCGCACTTTGCAAAGTGCTGTTTAATCTTCAAGTGCAGTTGCTCCAGAGCTTAGTAAATGAGGTAAAGCTTCCCTTTGCAAAGAATACCCAATCACATGCAGGGAAAATAAAACAAAGCCATTTTTGCTTGCACATGATTGGATGATGGAAATCAGAAGAACCTCTGCTAATTTACTAAGCTCTGGAGCAACTTCACTTCCAGAGTACAACTGCACTTTGCAAATTGCACAGACTATTACCTTTAGTAAATCAACCCCAACGTCTCTTCTGAAATAAAATACACATACCTGTCTGTTCACAACCCCCTGTAAAATGTACAGTGAGCTGTGTCTTTAGTCCCACTTTAGGTAACACATACAGGTGGTAAAAGGAAAAGCAGAAGACTAATGAGCTTTCCTCACTGTCACTTTGCTTGCTTCTCCTATCAGCATGTTCCTTGGAAGCACATGAGCACCGCAGCACAGTTGATTGGCACCTTGTGCTGGTTCATCCTCTACCACTCTGAGTTCCACTGTAGAGGGACTGCAATAGGTTGATACAAACCCAGATTCAGGTACTTACACTGCTTACATTTTAAAAAAGTATATTTAATGATAAATTAGAGCTACATTAATTTGTGTATTTTACATTGGCCTGGAGTTCAGCTTTAAATATTTCTGTTATCTGTCCTCTTTATAGCCTGATAATTGCACGTTCGTCAGTGGATGTTTTTAGCTCTTTTAAATGAACCAACTTGCGACTTATGTTTAGTGGCTCTTTAAGGAGAGGATTTTTTCAACGCTCTGCCAAGTTGTACACTCTCCTCTAAATGTTCCCAGTGGTACAATCGTCCATACAACACAATCCACCCAGAGCATATTTTCACAGTGTGTCCTAAATGAAGTATCCAGAGAGGAGGGGCGACCAATATCCAGCACACTAGTCCGTCATCCAGGGTCCTCTGGATTATTGCAGAGGGGGGCTCTGTGGTCTGGGGGGCTCTGAACAAGGGGGGACTTGCGGCGTGGAGAGGTCGGTGGCGGGGGACAATTTAATAACGCTGGTTTGTTGGGGCTCAGAGGTGACCTCAGTCCGTTCGCTGTCACTGGTCATCAAGTCCAGCAATTCAGAGTCACTGCTCTCACTGTCCCCGTCTGTCCTGTATGGGCTGCTGCTTCTGTCCATGTCTCCCTCCACGGAGCATGGGACCTCAGTCTTTTCTGACTCTTCTTTCTCTTTGTCCTTTTGTGCTTGTGCCTCTTTGGAGTGTCTCCACTTCATGCGCCTGTTCTGGAACCATACTTTGACCTGGGGGAAGAAAAGGGGGTTTAGTGATTGTGGTACAAACGTACAAACAGTGGTGCTGTCGCAGTTGTAGTAGAGGAACTTTGTGTGAAATCCCTGGTGTTCCTGCCAGTCCAGCTGCTTTTCTTTTAAAAACTGACCACACTAGACATGAGAGCACAGTGTGGGCAGTTTTCTGGCTGGGCTGAGAACTCTCCTCCAATGATCAGACTTGTTATGACACGCCCCCCCCCTCCTTCCCTGCACAGCCATTCACTGGGAAGGTCAATGTCCTGCTGTTTCTCCTCCCCCAGCTCTCTGAGCTACGTTTTCAGCTTAGAACAGAGGGTATGTGATCACTTATAAAAAGGGAAAAAGGTGTTTATAATGTTTTTTTATATCTATACACAAATGTTTTTTCTTTCATTTCTATTTTAAACTGAAGAGGTTGTTTTACGTGGTGAAAAGAGAAAGGCATGTAACCACTATGACATTTCATGGATTTTACAATAAGATTGAAATGCTGTTTAAGTTGGGAGCGGGGCCCGCTTTAAAGGGGCATATTTCTAAAGCAGTACATTTTATATTCACCAAACATTCACTGCAGGTCTATCTTCCTGGTGCTGAATTTTAAATTGATTCACCATCAGTGTATGGTAACCCTAACAATGAACTACAGACCCCATCCTCTCCCCCCCATGTTGTGAAGATGAGCAGAGGGGGGAGGTACTCTGTAGTTCTAACACACTTCTTGTCCTAGGGTGGCAATCTTGCTGCTCAATAGATACAGCACAATGAGTGAGCATTGTCACCCTAGGGCAGGAAGTGTTACAGGCAGAGTCACCAGGTGAAAATAAAAGAAAAGAAAGCCTGAAAAAAAAAGAAATGCAGTAGCCACATTTAAAGTCGTTCTAAAGCCTAAAGATTTGTTTACCTTACCTAACCTTCTATGCATTAAGGTAAAAAACCTTTTGTGTCACAGGATTCCTGCCCTATACTTACCAAATTCGAGCCAGCGCTGTGCATGGAAGCAGTGGCTCTCTCCGCTCTCTCCCTACTCCCTGGGCAGATTGATAGCAGCTTGAGTCATTCGCTCCCGCTGCTGTCAATCAAATTCTGTGAAGAGGGAGCAGGGGGTGTGGTGGAGCCACCCTCTCTGTGTCAATAGACACAGACAGGGCAGCTCAGGAGTGAGCCCAATCAAGTGCCCCCATAGCAAGCGGCTTTCTATGGGGGCACTTGGTGGGGGGGGGGGGGGGGAGCCAGGAGCACTGGAAATGGACCCCAGAAGAGGAGAATTAGGGCTGCTCTGTGCAAAACCATTGCATGGAACAGGTAAGTGTGACATGTTTGTTATTTTATTTAAAATAAATAAAGCTTTACAGTCACTTTAAGGACTTGTGGGTTGAACTGTATTAAATGTTTGTTCTTGGGTTTAGCTACATCCTAACATGTGACTGGGCTGATCTCAGCATCCATTTAGCAAGCAGGCTGCCGGACATACAGTACAACTACTGGAGGGAATGCCTAAGTATCTTTATTGATATATAAAAATTAAATAAAGCATAAAATATGACGCAGCCAAAATGTTAAAAGGTCAAAGTGAAAATAAATGAATGATAGGGCATAGGGTTGATGATAATAAGATTGAGCAGGTGTCATGGGTTGCTATCAGGTCTTGAGTCCCATGTGAGGTTAAATGATGCAGCGCTAGCTGAATTACAAAACCCAGGCAGCTACCACTGCCCACACTTGACTTCATTGCATGTTAGCCTGGTATCACAGAAACCCAAGTCAAATAAAACATCATTAGGATCCAAGTTATTTCAGGGCTAAAAGTATCATCATATCATATACCGTTCAATCTTAAAGTGGTTGTAAAGGCTCAAGGTTTTTGCCTTCATGCATTCTATGCATGAAGGTCAAAAACCGTCTGTGTGCAGCAGCCCCCATAATACTTACCTGTGCCCAACTGCAATCCAGCGATGTGCGCAAGAACCTCGGCCCTCCGAAGACTGTCCATCCTCATCGTCAATCACAGCCAGTGAGCCCATGAGGAGAGAGAGGGGATGGGGCCGAGTTACGGATCTATGTGTGAATAGACACACAGAGCAGCGGCTCTGGAGCAAACCTGTTTGGATGGCCCCATAGCAAGCTGCTTGCTCTGGGGGCATTCGGCAGGAGGAAGGGGCCAGGAGCTCCAGCAGGGGACCTGAGAAAAGGAGGATCGGGGCTGTTCTGTCCAAAAGCATTGCACAGAGCAGGTAAGTATAACATGTTTTTTGTTTTTTATTGCCATTAATATCACTTTAATGACAGATAAATACACCTGGCAAACACACATACATTACAGAGCACCATAATGCATTATAAGAACTGCCATGTTCTATGGTGCATACCTTTCTTGGTGCATTTTACTTCAATAGGCAGCCTATTGAAATGAGCTGGCTGCCCTAACACAACACACGGTAAACACACCCCGACAGTGTAAACCCATCCTTAGGTGAAGCTCTGTTCACTTTAATCAGCCAATCGTTTACAAGAAAAATCCTGTATTTTGTCCCTTGCAAGCAAATCGGTATTTCATTCACAAAGTTAAGTGAAAATTCAACAGGAGTAAATCAGGACCTTAGTGAATCAATCCGTATCACTCAGCCGCAGTTCTAGCAAAGACAAGGGTGTAGTTAGCCTTAAAAGTCAATAGATGTCAAAAGGAAAACAAAAAGGTCCATTGGGTAAATGTTGTAGTAGATGTACGCTTATAGTTGCTGAACTGTGTATTGCAAATAATTGGCTTTCTTTAATAAAATACTTTGATGACCATTTTTGTTTCATCGTTTGTTCCATCTCAGCACTACTGATCTCTTCATTTCTCATGGTGGGTCTCCTGATGGTGATCATAATGAACCATTCATGTACAATGTGCGCCTGCACAGCCTCTTGCAGGGGTGGACTGACAACTCATGGGGCCCTCGGGCAATAGGGGATCATGGGGCCCCTGTGTCCTTGCCCAAACTAATAACAGCCTATGAAAAAGGTACCAGGGGCATCTCATGGGGCCCCCTAACGACCCCGGGCCCTCGGACAGTGCCCGGGTTTCCAAATGGTCAGTCCACCCCTGACCTCTTGTAGTCTCCTCTGGAAGCCCATGTGAAAGATTGAGAACACAGGAGCACAACTGGGAAACAGGGACAGAGCATTGTCCCAACGTAACCAGAGGTGTCTGAACAAGGACCTTCATGATAAGGACTGTGGGTATTATTTTAATAAAATCTACAGAAAAAAAATACTGACAATGACTTTAGAAATGAATTTAACCCCTTTGTGCCCAGTATCCCTTTAACAGGGTCTTTACATCTGAGGGGTGAGTAAGACTGCCTGATCACATGACCACTGTGATTGGCTGTCACGGGGAGCCAGTCCCGCCAGCTTGTGATCATCACTGGAGACCAGGAGATGTCTATGACGGCTCGGTCACTGTGCTGGGAGCAAGTAGTGAGTGCAGCACAAAAACCTCATGGGCCCATATGTGAGGCGTATTGGTGTTAAAGACTTCCCTCCTAACTGAAGCACATAAGCTTTATATGGGCGACAAAATATTAACCTGTTAAAGTTTAAATGAGATTTTAGTGATTGGGTTTACATATTTTAAGATTATGGGGACCCAAGTACAGCCCCCAACATCACCAGAGGGCCGCACATGCAATTCAGTATCAGAGACAGCAGACACACACACAACAGGATATAATTAAAGACGATGGGCATGATACAAGAGATAGTCAGAAACTGCAGAAATAATACAAGAGTTGGTCAGAGGCTGTGAATATAGTACAGAAGATGGTCAGAGACTGCAGAAATAATAAAGGAGATGGTCAGAGATGGTGGATATAATACAGGAGATGGTCAGAGAGTGCAGAAATAATACAGGAGATGGTCAGAGACTGCAGAAATAATACAAGAGATAGTCAGAGGCTGCAGCTATAATGTAGAAGATAGTAAGAGTCTGAAGAAATAATACAAGAGTTGGTCAGAGGCTGTAGATATAATACAGTAGATGGTCAGAGACTGTGGATGTAATACAGGAGATGGCCAGAGACTGCAGAAAAAAATATATAAGAGATGGTCAGAGGCTGAATATAATACAGATAATGGTCAGAGACTGCAAAAATAATACAGGAGATGGTAAGAGACTGCAAAAATAATACAGGAGATGCTCAGAGACAGTGGATATAATACAGGAGATGCTCAGAGACTGCATAAATAATACAAGAGATAGTCAGATGCCATGGATATAATGCATAAGATGGTCAGAGAGTGCAGAAATAATACAGGAGATGGTCAGAGACTGCAGAAATAGTACAGGAGATGGTCAGAGACGGTGGATATAATACAGGAGATGGTCAGAGACTGGAGAAATAATACAGGAAATGGTCAGAGACTGCAGAAATAATACAAGAGATAGTCAGAGACTGTGGATATAATACAGGAGATGGTCAAAGGCTGCAGAAATAATACAAGAGATAGTCAGAAACTGTGGATATAATACAGAAGATGGTCAAAGGCTGTAGAAATAATACAAGAGATAGTCAGATAGTCATACAGGAGATGAGGCTGTGGAAATAATACAGGAGATGGTCAGAGACTGCAGAAATAATACAAGAGTTGGTCAGAGACTATGGATATAATACAGTAGATGGCCAGAGACTGCAGCAATAATACAAGAGATAGTCAGAGACTGTGAATATAATACAGGAGATGGTCAATGGCTGCAGTAATAATACAAGAGATAGTCAGAGGCTGCAGCTATAATGCAGATGATGGTAAGAGTCTTCAGAAATGATACAAGAGATGATCAGAGACTGTGGATATAATACAGTAGATGGTCAGAGACTGCAGGTATGATACAAGAGATAGTCAAAGACTGTGGATATAATACAGTAGATGGTCAGAGACTGCAGGTATGATACAAGATATAATACAGGAGATGGCTTTAGATTCACATTGATCAGTGTTTTGGGCGATGT